AACACACAGGAAACAAAGAGGAAACACACAGGAAACACACAGGTAACACACAGGAAACAAAGAGGAAACACATAGGAAACACACAGGTATATAATCAGGTGAGTAACTTGTTTCCCGTGTCTCACCTTTCTTCAGTTTGCGGACTGCGACCATGCGGTGATTGGCTGACAGCTCCCAGATCCTCAGAGTTTTGTCGTCACTGACGGTGGCGCAGACAGGAAGTAGAGGGTGAGCTGCCAAACCCCAGACCTCCCCCTCCATGTGACCCTGAACATGACACACACACACACACACAGGTAACGTTTATCACTGAGGGAACAGCCACCTGTTTGATCCAGATTTTCACAGATTAATATTTTTACCTGTCGCCTCTTCTCCATCATTCTCACCTGAACCAGCAGCGTCATGGGTCCGCTCTTGTCGATCTCCAAGATTTCTCCATTTTTGGTTCCCAGCAGGATGTGACCATGTCCCAGGGTGATGGCTCTGATGGACGGGTTGTCCTCCAGCAGCAAACCTGAACCAGAACCACAACAATGTAAACACAGAGGAGACGAAGGGAACGTAAATGCTTTGTGACAGCAGGTGAGCGACACCTTTAGAAGACGGAGACAGAGCGGCTCTCTTGATGGCGTACGTCTTCAAACATCTCTCAAACATGTCGTCCCACAGCTCCACGATTCCGTCCTTCCCCCCCGTCACAAAACCCTGGACAGTAATTGCAGGACAGAAAACAACAAAGAAAAGAAAATGCTGATCTTCAGATATTTGAGTATTTATTGATCTTTTATTGTCAGACTGAATATATGGAAGTTCAATTAAAAATGGATGGATGGTGTGTAACCTTGTCAAGGGAGCACATGGCGAACACGGGGCCGTCGTGGGCTTTGATGGTCTTGATTAGAGTTGTGTCTCTCCAGATGTAAACGTCTCCATTCGTGGCTCCAGAGAAAACCAGGTCCTCAGATCGACCATAACACGCAGACATCATCGTCTCTTGTTTCCCCAGGTTCCCAAATATCCCTCGTTTAAATGTCAGGCCGCCCCCTGCAGACCGAGGACGGACACACTTTTAATTATGTTGGGAAAACAGATTTACTATAATGTTGTGATATCTCAGGTGTGATGCTTGTTTCTCTGATAACATGTTTCCTTCCTCTCGTCTTTAGTTTGAGGAATGAAATGATGAAAGTGGACGAAGCCTGAATTTACCTGAATGTTGCCAGAACTTGATGTGTTTCATCCCCACAGTCACCAGCTTGTCCATCCTGAAAGGATTACTCCTCACCACGAAGATCTTCTCTTTGTGGCCCCTGAACAACACAAACCATCAGGTGTGTTGTGTTCATGTGTGTGTTTTGAGGTGTGTTCAGGTGTGTTGTGTTCAGGTGTGTTGTGTTCAGGTGTGTTGTGTTCAGGTGTGTACCTAGCCTTGGCCAGTCTCTCTCCTTTCTTCCAGTCCCAAATAACGATGGAGTGACAATCATCGATTCCGACTGAAACCAAACTCTTCCCGTCGGCTGCGACAGACACAGAATCATGAAGAGGTGATGATGTAGAAGTTGTGATTCAGATGTGATGACCAGTGATGACGTACCTGTGAACTCCAGGGCACACACTCCTCTGCTGTGGTGTCCCTTCAGCAGTGATAAACACTTCAGGGTCTGGATGTCCCAGACGTGGACGGCTGGGTCTCTGCCCACCTGAGCACACAGACAGCCAATCAGAAACAGTCTCGGCCAGTCTGACATTAACCTGCTGCAGTCTGTACCTGTGCAGAGGCCACGTAGTCTTTGAGTGGGTGGACGGTAAGGCCGAGTATGTCGTCGTCATGGCCGAGGTAAAACCTCTGACTGTGCTGCAACCGGTTGTAAACAATGGCGACGGCAGCCACATGGTACACCACCTCCCCCGTCTGACTGTAGAACAGGTTGTTACGACAGTCAAACCCCCGATACCTTCAGAAAAAAGAAAACAGGACCGCCACAATAAAAGTCTGAGAAGACCTGGTTGTTATGATAAATCTGTGTTTTCAGTCTGTTTGATCTTTTTGATTTTACCCATGAACAAACTGCAGACGAAGCCCTTCTTCCGGAGCTTTCTGCCGCTTCAGAGAGCCAATCAGTTTCTTCCTCAGCTGAGGCAGGTCTTCCTTGTACACCTGCAGAGGGACACAGGTGAGTCAGACAGGTTTTTCATGGTTTATTTACAGCACTTGATGGGGTTTATCTCCTGGTGACCTGGCGTTCGTAGCTTGTCTGAGCTTCCTGTTCGATGTCCGAGTCAAGCTCTGGGACGTCCGATAGGTCAGAGTCCGACTCACCACTGTTGGAGTCGGCGTAACCCTCTGAAGACACCACCCAGAGAAAACACATTGTTAACAGCATGTTAGCGTTATATGGTTACTTAGGGAAAACAAATAGAGCAGATGAATCAGGGCTTGTTTGAGGATAACAAAAATAGTTTGTTCAGTTGTGTGGTTAAAATTTGTTTGTGTATCAGAACAAGGTCGGAGTCTGTAAATCTTGGTCTTACCTTGTAAAAGCGGCTCCAAGACACCATTCATGACGCCTTCAGGCAGGAATCTCCACTGGAAGACTGCATGGTCCGCACCACCAGTGCTGACAACCCACTGCAGGTCATTGGACCAGCGAACATTGGTTGCATGGGCAGAGTGACCAATGTACTTCTTGAATTTGGCTCCTGTTTGAAGAAGAAGAGAAAAAAATGAATGGAGGAGTTCATAAAGTGGTTTGCTCCATCAACTCATCTGGAAACTGAGACATGAAGGACAAACTGCGCAGACAAAGTGTGAGTCCAGAAGAATGTTGAATCCTTTACTTTCCCTCATAAAATCTGATGTTTCAACTTTCAACATTTGTAAATAAGTCAATCAAAGAATCAGGGTTGCCCCTCACTGACCTTTCTTCAGGCAGGGGAACCTGAAGAGTTTGACAAGGCCAAGGTCGTCTCCGGTCACCAACACCGCACTGCTGTAGTTGGCATCCACAGAGTTCACATTAGAGATGTTGGAGTATTTGGGCCATATACCATTCACCTCAGCCCCAACAACGCCTGTCCACGTCATCCAGTGGATCCCCTTCGCCTCCTCTTTAGGAACCAGCTTACCTGCTGGAGGACAAAGGACAAGGTTAAAAGGTCAGGAGTCACTGGTCTTCAGGAGGTAAGTAAGGATAATGTCTCAGGTCAAGTCCAAGTACAATCAAGAATAAAAGAAACTGAGTTTCAGTGCGGTACCTGGCATCCTGTAGAAGAGCCGTTCTCCAGCACCGTCATTGGTCTGCAGGAAGCGACTATCGACCGACCAGTCCAGGTGGGTGATGAAGGAGGTGGAACGGGAACATTCACCCACCTTCTTATAGCGCTGGGCAACGGCGTAGATATCCACCAGCCCATCGTTTGATCCCACTGCCAGGAAGGAACCATCTGGAGAAAATTTGAGCTCATGGATCACCTCCTTCCTGTCCTTGATGTGTACGACCTCTGTCATGTCCCTGAAGACAAACGTTTGTTATTTCACATTCATGTTCAGTCTCGTTTTTCTCAATAATTGTTTTCCAACCAGAAACTGAACTCTGTTACCAAACAATGGCAACTTTCCACCCAAACGGACCAATACGATGTGTGGAGTTCAACAAGGCTCAGTCCTTGGACCCCTTAGACTAACACAAGCTAAATGTGGGGGTCATCTACTGTAGCTAACTGCTTTGAGCTAACCAAACCCTAGCCCGAGTAAGAGAGGTCACCTGACACGCAGCACGGTGAAGGATCCGTCTTTCATGCCCAGAGCGAGCTGAGAGCCGTCGTTGTTGAAGGAAACACTGCGAACAGATTCCTCCATGTTACATCGAGCTAGCAGAGTGTGGTCAAGAAGACTCCAAAGCCTGAAAGACAGAAAGGACAGAGATTAACTCAGAGAATACGCTGCCTGGTGGCAGAGCTGAGGTAGTGGTGTCGGTGGGATCGACTGACCTGACAGAGCGGTCATCACTCCCAGTGACAGCCACCGGTTGTTTGGGATGTAGGTCGAGTGCCCACAGCTCGCCCTCGCTGTGACCTTGCATTAGCAGAACCGGTTTGTCCCGGTCTCGGACCATGACCTCGAAGATCTCGCTGTCCTGAGTCCCTGCCAGGATCCGGTCAGCCTTCCAGCAAACACTGCGGATCGACAGACCTAAACAGAAAAACTTACACTCAAACCAGACCAACGTTTTACGGTAGCAGCGGGAATTTAAAGTAGTAGTAGTTTCAAACTGCTGCAGCATTTCACTGATGTGTTCATGTGTTTTTCAGGTGCACCAGCTGTTGTTAGAGGTTTGAATGACACAGTAGAGTCACGGTCCACATGTTTGAAACCTAAACCAATGAAAACCTCAGAATCAAAACCAGGTAAAGACTTTGACAGAACATTTGAGTTCTTTCCCTGTGAATTTAGGGTGTGTGTTACAAACGTCTGTGTAATGTTGTGTTCTCTTGTCCTGTGTTGATATTCAGAATTATTCCTCATTATTACTGAGTCACTTCTTATAGTTTGTGTTCAGAGCATTTTTATAAACAGTCTGAGTGAAGTTTGAGTTCATCCTACCTGGTTTATCTGCACTGAACATAGTTTTCATCTAATTAAACAGAATTTTCTTCATCACCGTTCACGTGCCCGGTTTATATATAAGTTTGAATGATTTACTGAACTGATGTTATTTTTTCATACATCACATGTCAACACAATCTTTAGTCTTTTCAAAAATAAATCAATTCAGCTCCGTATAAAGCGTTGAACCGACAAAACGAACATTGTGCTTTGAAGGGAAATAACGACAGAGAAAGTGATTCTGTGAATGTTGTTGCCGTGACGGAGATCAGGTCCTGGGTCTGTGTCTCAGTCTGACAGGTCTGAGGTCCAGGGACCAGGGACCTGACTCCTGACGCAGCAGTTGGTGGATCTGATAGTGATCAGGTTTTATTTTGATATACATGTCGGTGTCCAGACCTTTGTATCCCTGCTCGGCCTCTCTCAGGTCGATCTTGGTGATGGGTTTGAAGTCGACGTCCCACAGTCTGATGCAGCCGTCCCGTCCTCCGGTGGCAAATCCTTCCTCACAGGAGTGCATGCTGAAGATCCCTGCCTGCACCGCAAATACAAAACAGGACAAAATAAGATTGCCCATGAGCCTCGTTGCCTCTCTTCCCATCTCCCTGCCCCCTCAGTTGGGGGGGTAGTTGTCTTTCTGTTTGAATAGAGAATATAAATGAAGCTTCATCTGGTTGCCATGGTAACATCACAATGGTATCACTAGCAGCATCCGCACTTTCAGGCGCAGTACTTCACAGTACTACAGTACTCCAGTACTCCACAGTACTTCACAGTACTACAGTACTCCAGTACTCCACAGTACTCCACAGTACTACAGTACTCCAGTACTCCACAGTACTCCAGTACTCCACAGTACTTCACAGTACTACAGTACTCCAGTACTCCACAGTACTCCACAGTACTACAGTACTCCACAGTACTCCACAGTACTACAGTACTTCACAGTACTACAGTACTCCAGTACTCCACAGTACTTCACAGTACTACAGTACTCCAGTACTCCACAGTACTTCACAGTACTCCAGTACTCCACAGTACTTCACAGTACTACAGTACTCCAGTACTCCACAGTACTACAGTACTCCATGCTAGTTCAAATGCACCAATGAACCAACGTCCTCGTGGGTCAAACGTTTTATCATCGGAGGTGAAGACTGCAGCTTCTTCTTCTTCCTCTTCTTCTTCTATGGTTTAATGTGTCTCTACTTCCTGTGATTGGTCCAACAAAGAGTTTTCACTGTGAACCAACAGAACCAGGTTCAGTTTGATCCAGACCCAGAACTCCTCTTCTGGTCTGACTTAATTTTGGTGCATCTGGACCGGTCTGATTTTTTTAGGTCTGAACCGAACAAGGTGTGAAAGAGAACCAAGTAAAGATTTGTGTGATTCATTACCCCGTGTGCAGCCTGAACAGTTCGGATCAGAGTGACTCCTCTCCACACGTAAACGTCTCCGTTCAGAGCTCCAGAGTAGGTCAGCTCGTCTTTAGCTGCACAAACACACAGGATGGTCTGCAGGTCGCCCGTCTTCCCAAAAATCCCTCGCTTCGGAGTCAGAGCATTTCCACAGAGAATCCAGAACTACAGAAACACACAGTTTGTATATTATACATTTAATTAATATGACGTTCAATGGAAAGTTGTTAACCTGGATTAACATGAAGCTCCTGTTTAACCTTGATGTGTTTGACTCCACAGCTGACGAGTCGACTGGACTGGAAGGGATCCCACGCCACGTCAAAGATCTGCAGGGACGACATCATCAATACATGACTGAACCTGATCAGAGGTAAACCTGAGATCTTGTTGTACGTATGTTTAAATTCTTACATGTTCATATTAAAGGTTCAGTGTGTAGGATTTAGTGACATCTAGTGGTGAAGTGTCATGTTGCAGCTGAACACCCCTCACCCCCCCTCTCCTTACAAACATGAAGAAGAACCTGTGGCAGCTTCAGTCGTCATAAAAACTCTAAAGGTTTTAGTTTGTTCAGTCTGGACTCATGTAAAAAACATGGCGGCCTCCGTAGAGAGGGTCCCCTCCATGTAAATATAAAGTATTTAAATATGAAGTATTTAAATATGAAGTATTTAAATATAAAGGTTCTTTTCTGGGGTAAAGAAAACTACAAATCAAACAAGTTAGATAAAACAAACTAGTGAAAACATCATGAGGATTATTCTACATTCAATTTTTGCCAAAAGATACTTTCACCTGAATCTGACACTGGAGCTTTAAGTTTTTATATTTTTATCATTAAAAAGTCTCAAAACAAAAACACATTTCTGATCAATAATCAATTAAAAGAATGATTTTCAGGTAAATCATCTTTTAAACCACAGGATGAGTTGATGAGTCTTTTCCTCTTCTGTCTCTTTAAATGTAAATAATGAAGAGTCGTACTCTGTCCGAGTGTCCGGTCGCCGTGGCAACAACTCGTCCTCTCCTCCAATCCCAAACACACACTGTGTTCTTGGCGTCCAGCCCGACCGACGCCAGCCGCTACGACAAACCACAAACAAATTTACTCCAACACTGACTTTCAAACCACATGATGGGAGGACGCTGTCGTTGGTTAACTGATCTATAACACGTATGTATTCAGTTTACATGGAGGAGTTCCTCAGGGCAGCTTCCTGGAGCCTCAGTATTTCAGTTTTATTTGTATTTATCTCATTTTCATCAAAAAATGATTAAACAATTATTCTCTGAAGTTATTGTTTAATCTTTGGTTCATAAACGAGCTGAAGGTGAAACAGTAAAAATGAACGTTCACCTTTAACGAGATGGAACCAACCAACAGGGATTCTGGGGAAGTGACTTAGTCATGTGATCAGTGACGCATCTTCATGAGGGGGCGTGGTCTCACCTGTCCGTCAGAGTTGAAGGCGAGACAGGCGACTCCGTGTGTGTGGACGTCCCTCAGGATGGACACGGTCTGCATGGCGTACGTGTCCCAGATACAGATGTACGGGTCCTTACCCACCTGACCCGTCGCCACCTGGACCTTATCTGGATGGATGGACAGACTGGGGGGGTGAAGACAGAAAGAAAACTTCAGACAGCGCCCCCTGCAGAGTTCAATACAAACACACTGATCATCTGCTCCTACAGAAAACATCCTTCACTTGAATCCCTCATCACATCTTTGTTTAGGACGTGAGGAACTAAAAAGATTTACAGCTACGAATAAACGAGACAAAAAAATATATTTTACAAGTGGAAACAAATACGACACTAAAATATCACGTGACTTATTTATCACGACTGCTCAGTGTTGTCATGCCATTAAGACTGCAGGTCCACCGCCTCACCTGATGATGTCATCGTTGTGTCCCAGGTAGAACTTCTGGGTGTGTTCTCGGGTGTTGTAGACAACGCCAACCCCAGCCACGAAGTACACCACCTCTTTTCCTGCGGTGTAGAACAGGTTGTTCCGACACTGATGACCTCTGTACCCGTGGATCCACTCCAGCCTCAGCTGACACCGAGGAGCAGTCTTATCCGTCATGTTCCGTCAGAACTGGGAACTCGATGTAAACATCCACGAAAAAGTGTAAAACTAGCTTCTCCTCCGTTTGAGGTCTGATCTGTTCTAAGAAGATGAAAGAGTGATATCGCATCTGCCACGAAAACGGTAAAATCCTCGTTCATCCAACTCAGCTGCTGCTCCTAAGGCTGATGGGAACTGTAGTCCATCACCGTGGTCTCTTCAGCAGAGCAACACCCAACTAGACTTCCCATGATTCCAAACTGCAGCTTGTGCTATTAAGACAAATTTGTGCTTCAAACTGACGACACCGAGAGATGAAACTTTTAAGTTGTGTCAATTTTTGTCTTTCACTGTAAAACATTTCCATTGGAGGTAAAGTTAAACCTTTAACTTGCAGAAAACTTTGTCCAACGAACAAATAAATCACTGGAGCTAATTAAATAAAATC